CAACAAGGTTGAGGCTGAATGCATGTAATCTTGGTCCTGGGTTATTTTCCCCCTACAAATGTAAGAATTGGGTATAAGATATATGTCGTTTGTATGACAGACTTCTTCCTGGATGGGGTCAGCCAATCAGCAAAAGCCATAAGCAAGAGAAAACACTAAATATTGAAAACTATGAATCAAGGTAATGAGAAAAAGGGACAAGAAATAGACCTTAGGATGGAAAAAATAATTCCACTAAACTCTACTACCTGGGGATATTTTTAAATGGGTTTTACCCACATAAGTAATTCCTACCCTCATCTTTATAATATTGTCAGAAACCGGACTCTCTAAGCCCAGTATTTGGAGGGCTAAGATGACACCCAAGTGCTCGCTATATAGAAAATGGAGGGTCAGCTTTACACAAGGCTGTCAGAAGATATACAATTGTACATCTAGATGGTAGGGGGAGAGAAATGACTTGTGCAACTGAATCAGCTCATGGCGTTTGCATAAGATATTAACAGATGTTCAAAGAAAAAGAACTGAAAATAAAAGTTGGGGGCCAAATTTAAATAGGATCCACAATGGAGTAGAAAAGATGCTGGAAGAAAAGCAGAACTCTAACTGGAGTAAAGTCAAATTGAAGACTAAAAAGGAAATAAAGTGTCACAGAGAAACAGGAGGAATAGGGCCCCAGGAGCTAAGATAAAAATTTACTGAGCAATTTATTGCTATATTAATTGACTGTCACTGGCCTAGCAGCAAATCAGCAACAGGGGTTTTGTAAAGGCATACTGTGGGTTCTGACAGCAGCTTATATCATAGCAAACCTCCTTCAAATCGGTATGCGTTATGACACTTCAGCAAAATCCTGAATCTCGTGAAGTCTTCCATTTACATATGAACTGCGCAAACTGAATTTTACCTTAGCAAGTCCAGTTTATCTACATCATTATAGTATAGTCAGATAATCAAAAAAGGCTTAACGATCCCCCAGCAAAGGCTTAAATAGTTTGCAACAAACGCGCTTTGAAACTTAGAAAAAATGTGTTAAAGTAAAGGACTTTTTTTACTCCTTGTTTAGGAAAGAATGGGCCAGCATTCATTGATTTATTCAGGGATATTTATTTAACCACCTACTATAAGCCAAGCATTGAAGATACAAAGATGAAGAAGAAAGGATCTGGGCCTCAAGAGACTTACAGTGTGTAGGGGGGCAGGAGCTGGTGGGGTGGAGACAGGCATGTAAATTAGTAAGGATAATAAAATGTTACAGGTTCTATAACAGAAGTATGTCGATGGTAAAACAGGAACATAAAAAAGGAAAGTGATGAATTCTGCAGGGGTAGGGGCATCATAAAGTCTTTAGAGAAAAGGTGACCCTTTAAAACTAAATGCAGCAAATCCGGATATTAATATATATTACATAAAAGAAAATCACATACATATAATTTGTTCTTCATTACAAAAGAGTGATATCTATTTAGGGATGGATAGGCTATAAATAAATTTGTAAAACTCCTGCCACTTCAGAAATGCTCCACTAGCCTCTTTGACAATTGAATACATTTTAGTTGTCATGGTAGCAATCAATAGCCAAATATATATAACTTACAATAGGCTTTGTTCATAAGGAAAATTAAGACAAAAGTTTTGTTCTTATATGTCGTTCATGAAGGTCTTATTCATAATTTGGGTACCTATATATCTGTCTGGATATGATTGGCCATATAGATATTAGGTAGTTATCTGTTACCCTTAGAGATTCTTTCTTTTGAACACTCGCCATTCATGTTTAAATCACTTCTAATTTTGAACTAAGTTACCAGGTAGCTTATGAACTGAAAAAGCAGATTTGTATGTATTAGAAATAAAACTTCAGCTACTGGTATCCAGTTAGGATTGTAATCTTCAGATGTACACAACACAAAGGTATCTAGGCCACACATTGGTTTCTTTGGCCACTCACTCTTCCAAGTAGCAGAATTTTAAGAGCACCGTCTTGCAAAAATCCACTTACAAATAAATTGGTTGGAGTCCACTGATGGATTCAGTTCTGGTCACTGGTCACTTGGATCAACCAATGCTATAAACTTATCATTGTTATGGAATCATTTATGGTCTTTATGCCAGTGAGCCTCATTCCTGATTCCTCAACTTAGGAACATGAAGTAGCACATAGTCTACTACCAGGTTAACCCATCTCAAACCTCTGAAGAGTGACTTTGAACTTCTTTGTTAGAGAAATGTCTCTATTAGAAATTTCCCATAGTAATATTTATGTGCTCCACACAGTCTCGCAGAAATTTCTGAGTGTCACTAAGTGGACTGTTCCAACCTACAGGTAAATGCTAAGTCTTCCCTCCCCTCACTTTAATTCCTACTGCATTCCCACCCTTACTCTGATATCCCAAAATGTTGTGTCAGAGAGAAAAGGCAATAAGAAGAGGATAGGAGTGGACAGGAGAGGTAGGGAGGGGAGCAGAGGGAAGCATAAGAGAAAGGAAGGGGAAGGGAAAACGATCCAGAATTACAAGGGAGAGACTTTATTTGAAAGGAGTATTGCAAGAGGAAGTGGGAGGGTGACTACTGCAATCTTCAGAGGCAGACTATTGCAATAGGGAGAGCACTTTGACCACAAGATTTACAAGCAAGTCAAGAGTAAGGCACAAAGAATTTTTCCTTTCTAGGAAGGTAAAACAAGGCTAGAAGGAATCTAAGGTGGAGAAGTGGGATAAAAGGGTGGCATGATTGAATAGTAGATCAGAGAATCTTTTATCCTAAAGTCAGTCTATTATCAGGAGAGGATGTTAAGATGTTACATGCTGGCCAAGGCTCAGGGACATAGAGGAGGGAGAGAAGCTAAATCACAGACTGGTTAACAGACATTTTGTTCCAATTGATCAGTAGGAACAAGCAATTCAGCTAATCATTTGTGAGGTAAAGAATGGAAATTTGGAGGGAATGCACCTGGCCTTGTCATAGGTAAAAAAGTGGAGGATCCCTGTATATATCTAATTGATACAAGGGAAGAGTAACTTTTTTCCTTTTTCTTTTATTATTATTATTATTATTATTATTATTATTATTATTTTGCAGTAAGCTGTTTCTAAAACAGAAAAGGGTGTGGGGATTTCTTTTTCTTTTTTTTTTTCTTTCTGAGATGGATTCTTGCTCTATCACCCAGACTGGAGTGCAGTGGTGGGATCTCGGCTCACTGCAACTTCCGCCTCCCGTGCTCAAGGGATTCTCCACCTCAGTCTCCTGAGTAGCTGAGACTACAGGCACCCACCACCACGCCTAGCTAATTTTTGTATTTTTAGTAGACATGGGGTTTCACCATGTTGGCCAGGCTGGCCTCGAACTCCTGACCTCAGGTGATCCAACTGCCTCGGCCTCCCAAAGTGCTGGGATTATAGGTGTGAGCCACCACACCCAGCCAGGTGTGGGGATTTCTTAACCTTTGTTGTTTTCCAGGATCACAAGACTCAGGTAAAATTCAAAGTTGTCCATTGACATTAATCAAAGATAAATTGACATTGGATGATGCTATTGGAAAATTGAGCTTTTAGTATATGCTGGAATAAGTAAAAAACTGCCTTCTGAGGGACTTGTATTAATGTGAATTTCTTACATATGTTTAGTGTAGGAAAAGGAAACCTTAATAAGTCAGACCAGAACTCGATATGAAGGTTTGTGGTGAAATAATATACAAAAGTATGCACCTTTCTAACCCTATCTTCTGTGCTTCTCCCTAGTAGCACAGAAGAGAGGAAGAATATTCTTCTACAATCTCCCCTGGTGACCAGTGGAGATAGTTAAATGGTCATTAACTGCTTTAGGTTCTCAGTCATCTATGACTTTTTACTTTGGAGACACATCTGACATGAAGTAAGCAGAAAATAATCAATGGTGTTTTAGTCTCTGAGGTTAGGTTTATAGCAAAGCGGTACAAAATCTCTGAAATTCCCAGTCCAAAATATTTTCATTAAAAGACAAAAATTGTTTTCCTGTATGAATATTACTGAGAAAGGTAAATAGCCCATTGCAGCTAGAGTATCTGCCTCTGGCTCAAGAGAAGCAGCAGGAAGATCTACTTCTTCCTTTTATATTTTTCCTCAAACTCCAGGAGAGCAAGCAGAGAGGAGGATAAAGAAATACTAGAGTGAGACAGCTAGACTACCAGCACACTCACCTGAAAAGGAAAGAGCCTCTTTCTAAAGCAAAATACATAGTCAAAATAATGTTATCTTACCCACTATGGTTCACCTCAGCACTTTCTGAAAGAATTTTACTACCGTGACTCACTCAAAATAAAATCCATTATTTGCAGAAGAACTAACAGATTAATGAAAAAGAATATAAGGCAACATAGATTTTAAGGACACTAATGAAATTCACTTAAGAAATTTCTCCATTTATAATAGCTTAGCAATTAAATTATCATATTATCTGAAACAAAAGAAATAATATTTTTGTTGTGTCCATTCCCAAGATCAGCACAGAAATCGAGTTCAAGCCTCATAATTGCTAAATTCAGTGTTCTATTAGGAAAATAACACAGTAAAAATGAATACAGAAATGATAGAAATAAAACTTCTAAGCTGGAAACTGACTTCGTTACTGTTAAATCATATGAATAATTTCTAATTGATTTGTATTGGGCAGGAATCTTATATTCCAGAACCATGTTCATCTATTTATCACAATGTATTCTATATGACATATGGAAACTAATACATTGCTTCATTAATATTTAAGTCTTTCTCTAGTTATGGCTCAGAGATATTTAACATTCTAAAACATAAGCATTTATAATTACATGTTTTACATTTTACTCTAATTTTTAATACTGCCAAGATTATTTAGCATAACTAACTTTTTAACTACATACTCTTGCTCTCTTTACCATTAGCATATCAATCAAATTTGCATTATTCTGCTTTGCTCATTTTATTAAAAGCGAATTCAGGGCACAATTGACTTTTCATTTGTTTAACAAGTGAAGAAATATTTACCCTGACAGCCATTGCATTGTAGAGATTCATCATCATAGTATAATATGCTACCTGTGAATCAAGAAAAAAAGATGGCATACATTTCAGTTACACAAAGACAGTGCAGCCTATTTTTACATATAAAAGATAAGAATCTTTATACATAATACATAATAAGAGTTCTAGCCTTAGAAAAATGAAATCAAACGTTGTATTGAAGAGATAGGCTTCCTAATACATAATGCAAGCTTAACCAGAAAAATCTATGGTAGTCAAACTAGGAGCTAATGGAGATATATGATCATAAAATGCTCTCCGCTGAGTTTGATAATCAATGGTGCTCTACTGAGAATAGAATAACAAAGCAGAAATATTCACAAGTGCTGGTGACATGTAGTATTGTATGATTTATTCACTGGGGTTCTTTTAGCCAAAACTCACAGAAACATAAAAGGAATTCATATTTCAAGACGTCTGGTTTAATGAAAAATTCAAAGAAATGCTGCCTTCAGTCGAAATCGTTCAAGGATATGGATGCAGTGATGGAGCAAAATTGTGCCTTCCAACCATCTATGCAAAATGTTATGTACTTAGCTGCCTCCTGAGTAATCCTTGGGAATTTTGTTTCATTTAATATTCATTTTAACACCATAAAATCATAAATACAATGATATCATGTTACAGCAAATCCCTTGGTATAGTGAAGACTTCCTGAAGTGTTGGTTTCTCTCCAGTAAAGACACATCTATATATTAATACACACATTTTTGTTACAGTAAATCATTCAACAACGTAGCTTAGTTCAATGAAAATATTATTTAAATAAACCTTCCCCATCTGTTCTATCTTTTAATTAAAAATATAAAATTAAAATAATTCATGACTGTACAACAAACAATAAAAGCAATGAGATACATACTTTTAACATGATATACAACTTTATCCATTTTTATTCAACAGAAATTTATTCAGTATAACTTGAGCCCAGGTAATAGTTGTTATGTTTCAGGCAAAAATCAGAAAAAAAGTGCCTTAACTCTTCATAAAGGGGCTTTCTGCCCCGTGACAAACAGAAATTCATATAAAAGGGTTTCACTGTAATTAGTGTTGTTTGAATTGCCTGGTCTGATCCAAAGCAAATTGTCTGTGGAGAGCAGCAGGGCTGGATTATTTATCAACCGTCTGAGCAATTAAGAAACAGTTGGCTGCAATATGTTATTTACAAATGAACACAACAATGTTTCTTCATTTTAAATTCTATTTCTTCATGATTGTAAGCAAGGCATAATTGGTGTTTGAGGTGATTTAAAATATTTATTTTGATACTGTATTTCTTGACATCATATTGAAGCAGACATTGCTGTTAAACATTTCTATGAAGAAGAAATACATTGGATATTATATATTTCCAAAAGTTTGTGTTCAGAAAAGGATGTTTCTTGTCTTTATCATATCATTGTTTAGTTAACAGTAGAGTGTATGTGTGAGATTTTGAGCCACAGACCTGTGTTCAATTCCTGGCTTTGCTTTTAACAGCTGTGTGGCCTTGAACAACTTACTGAAAGTCTCTCAGTCTTGATTTCCGTTCTTAGAAAACTGGTCATTATATGCTTCATTGAGTTATCGTGAAGAGTAAAATGAGATAAAGTATCTAAGGTGCTCAGGACATAGTTAATAGTCATCATGAAAGGGATTATCAGTAGTGCTCATGTTACACATTTTTTAGTTAAAAGTATGTAATTTAACTATAAGTAAAATTCCAGGCCAGGCCTGGTGGCTGATTCCTGTAATCCCAGCACTTTGGGAGGCCGAGGCAGGCGAATCACGAGGTAAGGAGTTCGAGACCAGCCTGGCCAACATGGCAAAACCCCGTCTCCACTAAAAATACAAAAAATTAGCTGGGCGTAGTGGCAGGCCCCTGTAATCCCAGCTACTCAGGAGGCTGAGGCAGGAGAATCGCTTGAACTCGGGAGGCGGAGGTTGTAGTGAATTGAGATTGAACCACTGCATTCTGACAGAGTGAGACTCCGTCTCAAAAAAGGCCGGGCGCGGTGGCTCAAGCCTGTAATCCCAGCACTTTGGGAGGCCGAGACGGGCGGATCACGAGGTCAGGAGATCGAGACCATCCTGGCTAACACAGTGAAACCCCGTCTCTACTAAAAACACAAAAAACTAGCCGGGCGAGGTGGCGGGCGCCTGTAGTCCCCGCTACTCGGGAGGCTGAGGCAGGAGAATGGCGTAAACCCGGGAGGCGGAGCTTGCAGTGAGCTGAGATCCGGCCACTGCACTCCAGCCCGGGCGACAGAGCAAGACTCCGTCTCAAAAAACAAACAAACAAACAAACAAACAAAAAAACCAGTAAAATTCCAAAAAGTATAAAGGGCTCAATTTTATTACGAACTAACAGGAAAAAGAGATTCAGATTTTGAACCAAAGAATTCTGAATCCTGTATTAAGAGGTGAGAAAGCACTTTGATTCTCATATAACATTCTTAATTAATTGATTAAGAATGATACCACTAATTGATACCACATTTATTCTCAATTGTCTAGCCCAGATGCTTTAGAAAGTACTGAAAGAAGCATATGCAACACAGTATTTTATTATTCTACTTACATGAGGTACTAGAATAGTCAAATTCATAGAGACAGAAAGTAGAAAGTGGTTACCAGGGACTGGAGGGAAAGGAGAGTTATTATTTAACATGACAAGAGTTTCAATTTGGGAAGGTGAGAAAGTTCTGGAGATGAACAGTGGTGATGGTTATGTAACAATGTGAATATTCTTAATGCTACTGAATAACACAGTTAAAAATGAAGTGGTAAATTTTATGCTACACATATTTCACCATAATTTTTTTAAAAACTAAAAAAAAATCACATGTGAATGTGAACTGCATTTCCATAAGCTTTCTAAGAGATACATATAAACACTTTAAACTTTTGTAAAATTTTATCTTTGTTTCTATATTCTGAAAATGATGATTATTTGTTATATTAACATTAACCCTTTGGGTTACTTGAACAGTTAAAATATAACTCATAGAAAGCCTCTAGTTCTTAAAAAATTATTTTCTAGAATTTTGTCTTAGAAGTTTTTTTTTTTTTTCATTCCATGAAATTGGGTGAGGAAAGCATATTATACCTACCAAATGTTAATAACATATCCAAGAATGACAAGCCATTTTAATGTCTCAGCAGGCAATATTCTTATTCATTAATTACCTATTCCTTTATCATCAAGATATCAAGTCTACTTTAAAGGGGAAGATTATAGATCTGAGGTGAAAATTAAGTACAACAGAAGTAGATTGTTTTATTGGAGTGGAAACATGGTGCTCAATTTTAGATGTTCACCAAATGTTTGTTGAATAAATGAAGAAAAAGAGGGAGGGGAAAAGAACAGGAAAGACTGGGAGAATTGATGTCTTGCATTTACATCAGATAGGATAGGAAGAATTCCTGGGATTAAAAAATAGCATTTGAACATTATCACCCATTTGTTAGCTCTATGTGGCCTTTGTCATATTACCTAGCTCAATTTTTAGAAAGCTTCTGAATTTTTTTAGAAGGAATATATTCCTTTTGAAAACATAATTAATTTTCTGACTGGTTGATATACATATGGATCTTTTAGACTGAGCTCTTATTCAATGGAATTAGACCAGAGAGGTTATACTTATTATTTATAACTGGTGTCCTTTCTGATTTGTTGTCCATGAACTGTGATGAGTCACCCTACTTACACATGGCTAAGTATTTTGAATGTTATCCTGCCTGTAAGACAAACTTCTGAGAACTCAGTTTCACCATTGGCTATGTTGGTTTTCTATTTTATATTGAGGACTTGATTCTTTCATTTTTACCTATCATTTCCAACTAATCCCTGGGCTTTGTTAAGTCTTCTTTTCCTGTGACTGAACAACCTACAGTCTTCATACCTGCTTAATATTATGTTTAATTCATTTGGAACACCTCTTCTAGATTAATTTCATGAAGTATTGCTTTTATCAACTCCTTTTTTGAATTTTTAAGATCATAGAATTTCAATAGTTTCCAATTGCTTAAAGCAAGGCATCCTAATTGGGCTGACTGATGAAACTAACACACTTGAGTATTTCAGATCACTAGGAGAGAGAGAGAGAGATAAAGTTACAAGCTAAGGCACATGACACTTAACTTTTTTATTTCTCTAGTAGGATAATTATTACTGATGAGAGTATATCCTGTATTTAAGTTTCATTTTTCTCTATCAAGTGAATTACAATGGGGGTGCAGGACAAATGAGAACTACTCTCTTACAGGTCAAAGTGATAAGCAAAATTCACCACAATCAGGTGCCAGTTGCTTTTCTCCAATTATGCCTCCCTATTCCTTTCCCTTAAACCTCAATCTGATCAAATTACTGCACATTTTTTTCTTCTCCACTTTAATATTCATATGACTTTGCTTGCCTGAAGTGTCTTACCATTCCTTTCTAGCTGTCCAAATTATATCTCCCCTATTATCCTTATAAGCATTTATTTATAGGAGAAACTACCTTTTCTTCCCTACTACAAGTGCTACCAACTGGAATAAGAAGCTAGCGTTCTCCTAACTCCAAGGGTACTTTCAAACCATGTCAAACCAGTAGGATGAACTTCTTAGGCTTCTGAATCTCACTATCCTTTATCTCTCCTTCTTGCCCTCCCAACCTGCTCCCGCTACAGGGTACAAAGATTTTGGGCCAGGCATGGTTGCTTACGCCTTTAATCCCAGCATTCTGGGAGACTGAGGCGGGCGGATCACTGGAGATCAGGAGTTCAAGACCAGCCTGGTCAACACGGTGAAACTCTGTTTCTACTAAAAGTACAAAAAAGCAAATTAGCCGGGCGTGGTGGTGGGCACCTGTAATCCCAGCTACTCGGGAGGCTGAGACAGGAGAATTGCTTGAACCTGGGAGGCAGAGGTTGCAGTGAGTGATCATACCACTGCACTCCAGCCTCAGCAACAGAGTGAGACTCCATCTCCAAAAAAGATTTTTGACACCTAGGTTAAAGTCTTATTCTTCATTGGAACTTCTGCCACTATCC